ATTTACATAGGCAGGCGCATAAGTGCAAAACAACGTGACGTTAATGAATTGCACGCGTAACGCGTGCAATCCGCGTAAAGCTGTACAAGGTAACTGCCGCGTCTATCGGAAACTTAATTTATTCAAGTATTATTTATTATGTTCAAGCTAAATAAATTGAACCAATAAAATTTTTATATACTGTCTACTACTGTAAAAAGTTCAGAAATATGAAACATTAATTTTTTATATTTAAAAAAAGCTTTTTAAAATCCTTGCGTTTTTATTGTATGTCTTATGATGGGCTATATGGTTTACTCATGGATGAGATGTACAGCTATGATCAACTCAAAATTTAGAAATATTTTTAAATGAGACATAAAATGACAGAGTAACTCATTAAAGCCCGGTTGCACCAACGTTACTTTAACTTTAAGCGAGACTTAAAACTCTCTCTGTCTCATTTTAAAGCGAAAGAGAGAAACAGAGACAGAGAGAGTTGGTGCAACCGAGCTTTAAATGTATTTACAAAGTTTTAGTACGGAATAAGAATGACAAATGTACATGCAAAGTTATAGATATAGATGATAACTCTAATCTTTTGCATACATTACAAGTGTTATGATATAAGACATATATTTCATGTAATGTATTTACATTTAGTGCATTTGTTGCATTTAATGCACTGAATCCAATATATGTACTATGTGTGTTGTGGGTATAAATCCCACGCGCTAAAAATGCCGTATATCCTAGGCAGATAGGATATACAAGACATCAAGTAGAACAAAGGAAGCACTTGCTAAGCACATGTATTTTGCTATACCTCATCCTTTATTACATCTCTTACACTTATATATCACGAAGTAGCTAAACCTTTTACACTCCCTACAATAATTAGTTTACACAGGTTGTACATGATTGCGCTACTTATTGCATTGATTCAATTCACAATGGTTTCATTAATATTAATATTAGTAAAAAAAAAATTATAACACAATACTGATATAATAAAGGCGTATAATAGAGTGATTGCGCGCAAATTATCTTCTTCCATTTTTTCTGACTTCTACAATGTAACTCTTCGAGCAGCGTAAATACTTTAAGTGAAGAAACGGACGCGAGTTTTTCTCGTGGCGGATCGATCCTTTTACTCAAGGCCGAGAATCAAGAATCGAGATGCTTCGCGATCTAAAATCAGAAATACATTTATGCGAAACTAAAAGACGTAAAATATAGATTTTTTGTAATTCTATATTATATATAAATCTATATTACATATATACATATTATAATATACTCTACATTATAATACAATAAAAAAGAGTAAGAAAGTAAAAAAGAATATAAGGTAAAGCAACGGAGTTTCTTTTGCACTGTTTACATATCCTTGTTAACAAATTATGTAATTATCTTTTTTTTATAATTACTAGAGTTTTATGCATTAATATATTTGACAGAGGAAATAAAAAAGTATTGGCAATTACCGAAAACGGTTTAAATATATCTCAATTTATTTGATACAGAGCTCATGGTTAGGTACTCAACACTACTTTGTGGAATAGTTCCATGCAAATGGAAGAAGATCGTGGGATTGCTTGTTAGCAATCGCGAGAAAATCTATGGAAGAAAAGGAGAATTAACGAGCGTCACGCTAAGCGATTGTTGCCGTTATCCAATTGTATAATGATGAGATCGAAACAATATCGAGTTAAATGATCTACAAACAAATCTGTATATTCACGATTTAGTTCAATTTGAATGTGTATGTCAGAAAAATTATTATCGCATACAATGACATGTCACAAAGCACGTATGTGATCCTCTCCGAAGAAATTGACTTACGACAAAATTTGTGAACTAAATTCTTTATTAAAAATTTGAAACAATCTTACCAAAATTTAATATGTTTCTAAAACTAAAGCTTATCTCAAGAAACTAAGTATACGTCTTCGTCTCGTATATTATCGAGAATAAACTTGAAATCGAGCGTACTTATACTGAAATCATACGCTTTCAAATTTACTTGCTACGGAACGGACATCCGATTATTGCGCCGCACAATGGAGGAGATGAACGCGCGATGAACCACACCGAAAATGACTCATCTATTCCGCTTTCAGCTGCTTTCAGCGGCCACCCTGAAGCCGATTGGCTTTGACGGCAGTCGAAGCCGCCTCCGAGTCACTCGGCTAACTTGTCACCGATCTCGGATAGCATATCATCAAAGAAAAACGCGCTTGCGACTAAAAGAAAGAGAGAGACAAAGAAATGAAAAACGTCTGCAATTAGCTCGGCGAGCGTCCGCCGGGGCTCTTATCGCTGTGTCGGTATAGCCGTCGTTAATTAATTTTATACCAATTGTATATCCGCGTGAAAGAAGTAACCGCAGACGGCGAACTTGTCGCAAGGTTGACGTCGACTCTTCAACCTTGGTCGATCTATTCTTTCAATAGCCTTCGACACGTCCAGCCGCGTGTCCTTCTTCTTCCCTTTCTCATTCTTGGTTTTCGTGGTTGGTTCAATTAAGTCTTCTCATCTCTCTCCCAGAGACCGCCGCAAATGTTGGATACCTTGTAATTTCGCCGTTTCATTGTTCGGCGATTGTGCGCTTGCAGAGATTGTTACTACTTTTTAATGCTTGATTGATTGAAACAAGTATCCATCTTCCTTGTATTATTTACACTAAAGTGACTATTATCTTAAATGTGACATTGTCAGATAACAAAGGAGCAATGGCAACTCAATTTCTTGAGTTAAATAACATTTTGTTATTTTTAACTTTTACATATAAAAATATAAATTAATTTAATCGTTTCTATGATCAATTTCAAAGTAAATGATGTCCATGTTAATGTACGTACTTAGTAAATAATAAACGAAATTTGAATCAAGTTTAATATATATTCTCTCAAGTTAAACTCTTTAACTCCGTTGTTTTACTAAAATTAACAACATATTGAGGAACAGTGGAACCTGAAGAAATGATTAAAAATAATTCAAATTAGATAATTTGACACTATGAATTTAACAATGTACAGAACAGTAATAAATATATTATAAATGATAAAAGTTTAAACATTTGCATATCCACTGAATATCTGTAAATATTCGTCTTTACTCATATAAGATTAATAATCGAGAAATGTACCGGTGGCAAGAACGCCGTCGTCGACGACGACAGACTTCGAGAAGTTCATTTACGCGGTCGCACACCGCCGAATGGCGATGCAGCGATAAATAATAATGATAAAACGGTTAACGCGCGGCTTTCTCGCTCAGGAACGTCGCGAACGAAGCAACGGAAACCGCTTGGATATCACCTCGAGAGAATATTCACGGGAAGAGCTAACAGTATCATACCGATGCGATACCGATGCGACTATCTTGCTGCGACGGTACCCACGGCGCGGAGGAACAATCAAGCAAGTAGCGTGAAATCGCGATACGACGATACTTCGTGTCCGTATAGAATGATTAGAGAACGAACAGGAGTGATTCTCACGAGACTCGCTTCATCAACGGCTTGTTCTTACAGTTCTTTCTTTGGCTCCAACTCTGGAGCCGGGGACATGTCCAGAGCAATCGTTTCTGATTATTCAATTTGATACAACCCTGGCAAATTTTTTTGGTTAAAAGTTTCAGAAATTTCACCCAAGTAATGTGTTATTCTATCTTTATTGTTTTTTTAAAGGTAAAGCGAGGATAAAATGACACACTTGGGCACTCGGATAAAGTTTCCGAACTCAGTCCTAACAAGCTCATAAAATAAAATAAAATAAATAAAATATGCTTAAGATCAATTTACGAGGTAAAATCTCTAAGTATCGTATTCCGTCATCATACGTAATGATGTGAAGGTAATTAGTATATAAAAATAGAATATATTATATATATATATATATATATATTATGTAAAATATTATTCACACACATGGTAATGTTAATAGACTGCGTTGTATTTCAAAATACCGTTGAAGATATCATTATGTCAAGAAGATATTTTCGAAGAGACCTTTATAACATCTTCATGCAAATAGGATGTGGTTAGGAAGGTGTTAAATGAGGTTGTTGATGAAGTTGTCGGAGGAGCAGATCGTTGTTGGGATACAACACGTGCTGACGGTTTGCGAGTACGTGCCGTCTTTTAATGTAGACATTGGGTTGCGCGGATAGAAGAAATGCAGACGCGTTTTTCCAGTGACGGGTAATGTGTGTGCAATGCATAGTTCCCTTCCGCAATTTATGCGGAATGCAGTCTCGAGCGCCACGAAGCCCTTTTACAATGAGAAACGCCGGAGAAATCGCGCGACCCTACGTGGTTTCATTAACAGTTAAACAAGCGTGCGATTTTATATAATATATTTTATAACGGATACTTAACTATCTAATTGTTGCAAGAACGTAATACAGTAAACGGAATTTTTATGGAGTTTTAATGTATTAACTCGGAATGCAGATTATTATCAAGTAGAAGATGATTACACATTACAATTATTACTTGCTATTTATACATGTACATTTACATAACAGCTATGCATTTGTAATATAATAAATTATACAATATAATATTCATTGTACTATATTTGTATAAACTACAATCGTGTGCTTATAGTATAATCATTTTTCGCGACTAATTGTGAGATTAAACTGTAGATATGCTGTAAAATATACACATATATTATATTGCCATTAATATATTTGTCTGAAAGTAATAATTTTTATAAATTGTATCACAGTTTTCCGCCATACGCATAAAGAGCGTGAGCAATTTACAAATTCTATAATCTCGCTAACTTATCGTTCAATAATTCTCGAGAACCATTAATTCGATTATAAAATAAAAGTTTACATATTACGTTTGTACAAGCTAAATATTATGAAATAGCTACAAACGTATGATGCACTTCATAGTTTTCTTTATTCACATATTGTATGTCCAAAAATCACAAAATATTTCTATTATATATTTAATCAGCTTTAATTAAAAGATAAATCAAGATAACAATATATTTAATTATAGTTTTAAAATTTCTCGCTACGTTTGCACTTTTTTGTTTGATTTTTTCGAGGCGAAAACTTACGGGTATGCAAGTTTACTTACGTCGGTACATTTTATTGCACCGATCGACGGAGGTAGCGAGGTCCTAAGATCTGCGATAAAGCTGCGTCCACACTAGAAGAAGCGCGGGATAGAGGGGGATGAGCATGTGGGTGAAGGCTGGAGGGCTCTCCAGGATGTGTCGAAAGTGAAACTCAAGGTCTCATACAATCTTTCGTTGTGTGGTGCATGTATATGCATGGCCATTGTACGCCCTCATACGGGCTCGATCATAGCTCGCGATAAGCATCGATTCAGGTCCTTCGAGCCTCCAGTTCGGCTCTGCTAAACGATTGTGGATCCTCGAAGATGAAGATGTTATTACGGAGATGATAGCAAGAAGTGAAACTCATCTTCTGCTTATAAATCTTCCTTCGATCTCTCAAGATTTTATGCCGCATGCTTGTTTGTACTTGGTAGGAAATACGTAAGAAGCAAGCACACTAAAATATTAAATTAATAGAAGGTAATAAAATAGATTAATGAAATAAGTAAAATATATAGGAAGTGATAAAGCAACGTAGCATCGAATATAAGTAAATGAAACATATTTCCTTTTTTTTTTTTTTTTTTCGAAATAGATTGATGCTTGAAACATGGTGAAATTATTTTTTTTATTATAATTTGTCAATGTTATAAGAACATATTTAAAATTTTTGTAGGATAAAAAATACTTACACAAAGTGAAACATATCAGGTTAATAATCGGCGCTACGCAACCATATTCAAGTAAAACAGGGAATATGAGATTGCCGGTCATAGATCCCAGTCTTCCTATTATCATTTCTAAGCTTACTGCCATGGTTCTGATAAATTAAAAACAGAATGTGTATATATTAATTACTTTCCGCAAGTCAATAGTAATTATTTTGTATTGAGTTTAAACAACAAACCTCAAAGAAAAACGGTTGCGCCTACTAGAACGTAGAAACTCTTACTCATTATTCCGACATATAGACACGTGAGTATGAGAGTGGATAATGTACTTGTAGACCAGATTAAAGCTACCAGACATAAAATCGAACATCCGTAGCCGACAACTATATCCGAAAAAGGTGGAAAGATAGAAGTCATTAGTACTTTCTATGTTATCTTCAGTATAAAAATTCTTTCAGTGTATTAAACTATAGAATAACATTAAAAGAAACTTACATAATAAATATTTGTGTTGCAGAAAATTAACAATAACACTGGCACACAATATAAAAGTACAAGAAGTAGCTGATACAATAACACTGTCCATATACATTGAATTTGATACAACAATCTGAAAAAATTAGTATTATTAGTATTTGAATTAGTTCTATGTAAAAAGTGTAAGGAAATAATGAAAAAAATATCTTACTATATATAGATCACTATAAATAGATTTACTTTACATAGCCAAATATAATTGTAACAATAGATAAATAATATAAAATGTATTAATACATGTAATTTACAATTATTAACGTATCTTACAGTCTCGCAAGTTGACCTTTCTAATGCAACAGTTTTATTTGCATTAATAGACGTCGAAATATCCAGTATTTCACAAAAGGTAGGCTCAGTTATATTTGTATTAAGACTGTAAAAATTATCTATCGTCGCAAAAAGTTGTGGCTGCCAGAGACGAAGAGTATTTAAACTGTAAATACAATAAATATAAAAACATACGAATACATTAATACATAAATGTCATATTAAAATTTGATAAACTATTTAACGTATAAAATGTACCGTTTAAATGTACTATAGAATGGCTGCGTATAATCCTGAAACTTTTTTAAATAATTTATGAATAATATTTCTTTTACCTCTTTTCATTTCAAGTATTTTCGTAATACTTGTAATTTAGATTTATATTTTATCAAATGAAAAAATAAAAAAGTTTTTACACATATGTATTACAGTCATGAAATAAATTTGTTATATAATGTACTACATCCGAAAAAGGTAGAAAGATAGAAATCATTAAACCAAAAATGACATTGTTTAACGATGTTTGACGATTTGGAAATCGTCTCGCTTATTTTGGTTGTTATCAACGCAACGGAATTTTCTCATCATTCTCTTTTCTTAATGGAAAATTTTTACTAAGTTCGATAATGCCTCCGAGTATAAAGAGAGAATGGTATTTAATCGCAAATTGTGCGCATAATTGTAAACAGCAAATTTTTATTTTTGTTGCTGTCATTGGCCTAATTTTTAATTTAATAGAAGATTTTTACTGGAAAATTTAGAAGAGGATTTAGTAAAACATTTAGTAGAGAATTTGCAAACCGAGAATATGTATTTAATTACATGTTTTTCTCCTCAGCTGACATCTTTTAATTTAGTAGAAGAATTTAGTAGAACATGTGATGTAGGTACATAATATCCCGGGATGATATTGTATCCACAGATAATGAGAATACAGCTCAGTTAACAGTGAAATATGAAGAAACAAATGTGTGTGATATCTTCCGCGCTGATAAAGTCGTAAATTCTCTGTCATTCAATCATCATCACGGCATTTATATGACTAACCAAGATCTTACATTTTTATGACGAGTCATCTAAAAAGTATGACTTTACGGAAGCTTTATATAAACTCGCACAAATATTACTGCTATTACCACGTTACTCGCCATTCTGATATTTGCAACCTCAATTCAAAAGTTTTAGATTAATTAACTCAGAAACCGAATCATCTGAGGCATTTTTATGTTTTTAGACAAAGTTACGTTATATTTAAAATAAATTACTATCAACAATTATTATGTGGCTTGTGTATATATATATATATAAATAATAAAATACTTACCCTAACATCAAACAAAATTGCATAATAACAAGTAATGAAATACACGACAGATTTGGGTTCAAAAACATGGGCTTCATTTGCCGAATTCCGTTCTTTAAGCTCGCTTTCGTACCGCTTTGACATTTGGATTGTTCTGTAGTTGTATTGTTTAAACTTACATCATCCAAAGCATATATCTAATGATAAAAAATATATAGAGATACTTACATCTTTGTTTATAAATTATTTAAATAATTTTATGTAAACTATTACAATTAAAATTGTGCTTACGGGATAATTATCTTTAGGCAGACCAGTATTTATACTGTAGATCTTTTTGAAAATTTCAAGAGCATCTTTATTACGATTTTGTGTCATCAGAAATTTAGGACTCTCCGGGAAGAAAGAGAGACAACAGACACCTATCAACGATGATACTCCACAAAGGGATAGAAAGATTCTCCAAGAATTGTAGACAAAGGCACCGTCCCAAAGAACAATTGACCACTGCTGAGGAATAACTAGCCAAGCCAATGCTAACAAATGCATGCATTAAATATTATTTTCACGAAAAATTAGATTTATATTAAGATTTTTTATTAAGTTGTTAATAATTATCTATACAACTTATTTTCTATAATAAATAACCTCATAAACTATTTTATTATAATAAATAAATGCTGAAATATTTTACCTGCATTCATTACACATCCAAACGAAACCGAGAAGCCAACGAGAATTGGAATCTTCGTTCTACCACTGGCGCCATAAAATTCCGCGCTGTATGCCATAAGAGTTGCATATGGACCACACACGCTAAAGTTTAATTGATCATTAATCTCTTTTATATTAAATGATATAATTATACGACAAATGTAAAAGGTTATTGTAAGATTAAAATAGACTTGTTCTTTGTCTGATACTCGTATAGCCTGTTTTTATTTTAAAACTGTCTTAAATGTCTTAAAGTGTTATTGTGACTCTGTGATTATCTAAACAACACAAAGTCTTGTTGTCTAAAATTGTAACATAAGGTGTCTTTAAGTTGTCTTTTAGATAAACATTTTTGCAAAAAATATTTTATGACCCGAATTTTAGATACTTTTTGTTATCTGGGTAGCTTAACACGTCTTAAGACTGTACTTAAAACGATCCCAATAATACCAACCGTTGTTTTTCTTAAATAGCGCGCGTTATTGAATTTAACACACACACACACACACACACACACACACACACACACACACACACATACACATATATTATTAGACACTGAAATCTCAACCGTATTGATTTTTGATTTATTTATATAGCAGTTTAAATTATTTTATGTAATGTAATATTTTTCTCACATAAGGCCGCTGAGAAATTTGAAGAATAAAAGCGTCTCGAAGTTCTGCGAAAATCCTGAGAGTACATTGCATATACCATCCGCCATATAGCCATATATTATAATCTTCTTTCTTCCTTTAACATCAGCGAGGTATCCCCATATAAAACCGCTCAATAGCATACCTAACACGAGTTTAATATGAAATTACGCTAAATTTCTTGTATTTTTTCCTTTTTATATTTCTATATTATTTTTAGTATCGATTAAAAATAGTTTAAAATAGTTTTGCTAAAAGTCATTGCTTGAAATAATTTAAATGTATTGAAAATAATTTCAAACGTCACATTGCACTTACCTACGTAGATAGCAGCATTCAAAAGTCCTTTGTCAAACAATGACAATCCTAAATCGCACTCCGCCGATGGAAGTATCATCGACATATTAGCCGTATCTACACTCGATGCCCAGGAGGCCGGAATAATCGCAAAAATGAGAAGATATTGAAACTTCCCGGTCCCAGCGACAGTAATCGCCGTCTCAAAATCCGCAATTTTTGCATTTGATTCATCTTCGATTACAACTACCGAAATATGTATTATATAAATATATAATTTAGAAAATAAGTATATATAATTTAAAAAATTATTATACACACACACACACACACACACACACACACACACACACAATACATTGTTTTCTTCAAAAGTGACAACTCAGAAAACGTGATTTTTTAATTATCATGAAAGAGTTACATAAGTAAACATTATCTTATCAATCATCAAAATCACATTAGTTTAACTTTATAAAAAAATCATCAAAATTTTTTGTCAGATTGAAAAATATTTTTACGTTAAAACACTTTTTTACATTAAAAAATATTTTTATTTCTTTTCTGGAATAAAATTTTATTTTTGAATTGTCATTTTTGAAATAAAAAAAATGATATATATAACATATACTTGTACCAAATAAATAAATATGAATAAATCAAAGCTAAATAATTTTTATTAACAATAATTCTGCTTAAAATATCGGAATTTATATATATTTAGCAAGAATAATCAAAAATTTCAAAATTATTTTTTATCAAAATTTTTTTTAATAACAAGTATCGTGTACTTACTTGAATCTCGTTGTTGAATTTGTTCCTTATCAGGTACGTCGATTACATTAGGTTTGTTGTTAGGTTTGTTGTTCGACATAGTATTTATTTTACGAAAGATATCAAACGGTGATCACATAATACATAATTCAGAAAATAACTGATACAATTTTCTCAATTTTAGCTACGCGTACGTCAAAATGGGGCCGCGTTCAAACAGCTTCTGTGTGAATGATGTTCCGATAACAGTGATTATACGGCATATATGCAGCATAGGATTCTGTAGGAGTAATCTTTCACGCGCAGGCTGATGAAATCACTCTACTTTCAAAAATATTTTCTCTCGTCATATTTTCGAGCTCATCGCTTAATATCACTCAAACAATTTTATCACTTAAGTAAACTCAGTTAATTTATCATGTGCAGTACCGTGCTTACAATTCTAATATTTGTCAATGGAAATCAACAACTTAATTAAATACATGCACGTGCCTGATGATTTAATTACCTAATCATCAGGAAACACAGTTACTTATTACGTTCCTCATTGAAAAAAAATTCATTTCTTTGCTTATTATAAGTTATATTTTTTAAATGAGAAACAAGTGATGGTAGCAAATTACTTTCAAAAATGATTGTTCCAACCCTGAGGATATTATTGTTATTGTTACGAGAAATTATAACTAAATCTTTATTATAAAAAAAGAACCATAAAACAATAACAGTATTACGAGTAACGCGTTTTTCACCATCCCTGTTCGTAAGTGTTAAAACTTATTAGGTGTTGGAATTAATTCGTAGCGTTTTACAAGTGATGGGAAGTACTTTCATTAATGTATTTTTTAATGCTCATGTGAAATAAATAACATTCTTTCATTAAAAAACGCTACGAATTAATTCCAACACCTAATAATTTTTCTTTAACTTTTGGCAATGATTTCTGACTTCGCTTATCAAAATGTCTTCTTATAAAATATACCGACAACTACACGACAGTTTGCTTTATCACAAGTCATTCTACCTGCAACGAAAACGTGCTCATGACGTATCCAGATGAGATAAATGATAATAATAGACTAGACTGTGGAAATATAAATACATGTATTACTGATTTTTTTGCTAAAGTGAGATATTCGTGAAGAGTTAGAAAATTTTTAAATTTTTTATTATTGTATCAATAAAATATACACAAGAATGCGTGTATTATTTATTATTAACAGTTTATATTTCCTTCGGTTTGCTGATCAAAATGAGCTATTGTTTTCCTAAGAATTCTTTCTCGCGTGGTAAGTTCGACAGATCTGGGTAAAAGATTCAGATCTCAACTGTAACTTTTTTCGAGATTTTATCACATTGCATGTAAGTCTTACGTTAAATTATACCGCTCATCGGTATCTTTGTTCCTTTGTTGCGTCCTATGCAGGAAATACTATATTCTTTCTGGCTTTACACTCACGATATCTATTTAAATTCTTGGGGGATTGCGAGAAGACTGAATGTTGTACCAGATTCTTTAACTAGACGATCTCTGAGTTCTAAACACATATTAACTATATGATAATATAATCACATACATAAACGATTGACATTGTGAAACACAGATAACACGCCAGAAAATGGAAACATTCTAAATGAAACAGCCAGAAATGTTTTATTCAAAATCATAAATATAATTTTTTCTTAAGACATTTCAAAAATATTCTTAATATAAAATACTTTTATCAAAAGCGTGTCATAAATGAAAAAATATTGATATATTAATATTGATTTAAAAAACAATCTTTTATTCTAATTTTTAATTCAAGTACGTTTCATTGCAGAATGAAGATCTACTCATTCTTTGTGTTAGTTGTGCATTGATCCCACGCGGATGAGTTGACTTCATCCAAAGGAAAGACTTCTCGACTACCTTTCATCTTAGTAGATTCCCGGGCTTGTTGGTACGATATCGACTCCATATATTCAACTACCTTCGAAGAAAAAGAGAAAGAGAAAAGTTATATGCAAGGACAGAGTATCGCAAGAAAGCGAAGTTCGTTTCACCGGAGTAATTAAAGTTTCCTGCATTTGAATCGCGGAATCGACGTTGCGTGGCAAGTGGCCTGCTTTTTAACCGACAGTACTTTTGTCGAACAAGGAGAAATAAAAATCAGCGTCCTTTTACTAAATGAATTAGGGTCAGCAGATCGCACTATGAACTAACGTTTGTTATGCCGAAGGTCACGCTAACGATGCTTGGAACTGATAAAGATCGTTAACAATGGATGTGTCGGCTAAATAAATGATTAATTAAATAAGATAGCTCACCCGAGTATGAAATGACATCCAATAAGAAGTTCGAAATATTTCCAGCAATGAGTTACAACTATACACTGTTCGACTACATTTGTAATTAAATATTAAATATGTTGTTTCTCAGTTTTTAAGTAAATAAAACTATATAGCTTGTTAATTAAAAATTGTTTAAAATAAATAATATATACATAACGGTTTAATAAGATAGCCATTTAATAAAGTTAAAAATAATTTCTTGCTACTGAATCCATAAATTTTACTTATATAAAATTTTATATAAAATCATAATAAGGGAAGTGAACTTACATATACACTTAAGCAGAACACAAGTCATTATGATATAAAAACGACTTTACAATAATTATTAAAAGTTATTTTTCAATCATTCAAGATTCACTTTAACATTATTTTGACGTATTGTTCTCCTTGGATGGTATGTGATACCATTAAACATAGGCGATATGAAACAAGATCGATATGAAAAACTTTATTGAATTAATGTGTTGTACGCGGAAGTATCTGGACAAGAGATGGACAACAAACTCCAGGATAAAATTAAGGAGGAAGTTTTGCTGAGTTTGATAATTAATTACATGTTCCACCATATAAATCTCATCTGTCTAATGCACATTAAGCGTTTTATATGAACTATCCTGCGCGATCACTATATGCTCCATAATGAATGCAGCCGACATAATTAATTAA